GAACCCGCCAGCCGCGCCGTTCTCAAGTCCGCCGGCCGTTCCTCACTCAAGCCCGCCCGCCGCCGCTCACTCTAGCCGCTGTGTGAGACGCTGTGTGTTTTTTGTTCTTTGTTTGGCCTTCCAAAAGAGGACACGACTGCTCTGGATAGCTGGCCAATCAGAGCACACCTCGCTTTTCAGACCAACGAGCTTTGTAAAAATTGACGAGTTTCAGAAAGGCGGGGCATAAAGGAGAAACAATAATGTACAGTATGTGGAAAATAATGTGTTTTTTGAACCTTAAACCGCATAAACACATTTCATTACACCAAATACACAAAATAATGTTCTTTTTAGCAACATCATATGACCCCTTTAAAGGACAATTTATCCATATGACATGTTTTGTGTATTTTAAGTGTTTAAAAGTCATGCAGTAGATTTGTGCATTTTTCCTAAAATCCCATATTTAAACCTGGCGGTGAATAATTCATTCAAATCTAGGGCATGTATTTTCTATCGACAATCTCTTGTACCAAAAGGCACCAATAAAGGTGAAAGATTCAAGTTTGAAGTCAAACATTTCTCTTCAAATTCCTATAAAAATTCTGATGACTCAGAAAATTCTTTAAAATTATATAAAATTATAATAAATTAATAAAAATTTGTATTAAAATTATTATAAAATGAAATTCTCTCTCTCTCTCTCTCTCTCTCTCTCTCTCTATATATATATATATATATATATATATATATATATACACACACACACACACACACACACTCACTTAATGTATTTATTTATTTATTTACAAACATACTATATTAGTATTATAGTATTATAGTATAATAGTATTAAAGTAGCTCATATGACTAATGTCTTTTGCATCTTTTGTTCTATTCACTATAAATACACTTTTAAAAATAAAGGTGCTTCACGATTCCATAGAAGAACCTTTTTGTCTAAATGGTTCCATAAAGAACCGCTAACATCTGAAGAACCTTTCTGTTTCACAAAATGTTCTTTGTGGCTAAAGAAGTAGTTCTTCTATGGCATCGCTGTGAAGAACCTTTTAAGCACCTGTGTGTGTGTGTGTATAGTAATTAGTAATATTATTTTAATATTTAATTAATCCATATGACACGTGCTGTGCATTTCAAGTTTTCAAAAGCCATGCAATAGATTTGTGCATTTTTTTCCTTACATCATATATTTAAACCTGGTGGAAAATAGCAACTTAATTTTTAGTTTGTTTCTCAACCAAAGTGATTGTATGACTTCAGAAAACCTGGTATGTCATGTACAAGTCACATTAACTATGGTACTTTCACACCTTTTTTTGAAGCTTGAAACTTTTTAGTCCAAATTCATTGTCACTTCTGTATTGTTTTCTCTCGCGCGCTCACTTTCCTTCTGCCTTTGAATTCGTCTTTTATTTTCCGTCAAGAGGGGGTTAAAAAAGACAGAGAGAGAGAGATAGACGTGCAGTAAGAGTAAGGGGGAACAACAAAAGGCAGAAAGACAGCGAGAATAAAGGAGGTGATCGCAGAGAAAAACAGATTTGTCAGCACACAGGGAAGGTCAGCGCCCTCCTCTCAGACAGGAAAAGACGAGAGAATGAAAAGGAGCTGATGCCTAGAGAAAGAGAGAGGTTTTTAGGTGGTCTTTGATTTCTTTTCCTCATCATTCACTTCACGTTCCCTTTAAACATCCCTTTGATGTGATGACAGACACTGTCTCTTTCTCCCCCTCTGTTTCTCTCTGTCGTTCTCCTGTAACAATGGACTGTGATTGCAAGGTTTTGAGTTGTAATCTTGAGCTCGTCAAACTGTAGGAGGTGTGTAGGTGGTCTTTTCTCAGTTTTAGTCATCTTTGTGATGGAATGATGGATGTAAAGAGGTGTAAAAAATATATGTGTTCTGAAACTCATTTTAATACAGTGAGTGTGTTTCAAAACCTAATGAACTCCCTTGCTCTTCTTTTAAGGCCGCTTTTAAACTGGAACAGTAACAATGTAATACTCTTAATAAGCATGGTAGTACTCACAAATATTATATGAAAAATAGTCATTTGTTATTAGATTAGACTGTTTTATTTGTAGTTTTCAGTATGTAATAAGAGCATGAATATTGCACATATATATTTGAGTGTGTGTGTGTGTGTGTGTGTGTGTGTGTGTGTGTGTGTGTATGTATATATGTACAAACATACATATGCATATACACACACACAATTATATATAACTTTGGTTTAGTGGTCGACCGATATAGTTTTTTTGACAGCCGATGCCGATATCTTGGAAAGCAGGGGGGCCGATATAAAGCCGATATAATTTGTTTTTAATTTTAATTAATATTTCTTAAATATTAATTAAAATTCAAAACAAATTATATCTGCTTTATATCGGCTATCAGCCCCCCTGCTTTATTTGAAAAAATATGATTCCCAATGCACACAAACTTCCCAGAATACTGAGTGCCCTGTTGGTTACAGTGTTTACTTCCTTTTTAATTATATTTTTATTAAATATTTATTGATTTGTTCATCTAAAGTATAGCAAAGTATTTTTCACAAATAAATAAATATTTAATAAAAATATAATTAAAAAGGAAGTAAACACTGTAACCAACAGGGCACTCAGTATTCTGGGAAGTTTGTGTGCATTGGGAATCATATTTTTTCAAATAAAGCCAGGGTAACCCTCATTTTACATACAGCACAAAGAGAAAATGACATGAATATGACAGTGGGCAAATGCATAAAGTGCAACATAATTTGAAATCACAAGTTTAAAGTTTAAAGCATTCAATTCACACGGACCGACCGTCCTGGATAAAAATGCACACTTCACAAGATCTCACAGCTGGATTCGACCAAGTTCACAAGGTTTGTGAAATTAAATGTTCATTAGTCATTCAAAGATTTGTTTAAATGATATAAATGCATATTTGCTTAATGCTGACTGAGAAAGTATTATAATGTCTGCCTTTCTATTTAATGAATGAATGAATGAATGATGCAAATCGTTATAATACTTTTTGTATACATTAATTCCTTTGTTTAACCGTTCTATCTGATTATTAAACAGACTTCTATCCGTATTAGACAGAACTGTTAACAACGAATGTGAGCACTGTCTGCTCAGGCGCTGCCACTCTCAGCGCCGTCAAAATAAAAGTCTGGCGCGCCGTCAAAATAAAAGTTTGCCTCGAACACATCGGCCAAACAGAAAAACTTATCGGCCGATGCCTATATTTGAAAAATGGCAAATATCGGCCGATATATTGGCCTTGGCGATATATCGGTCGACCACTACTTTGGTTAGTATTTTTGAAGTGTGAAGCATAAAAGTAATTGAAATCGAGTTTGAAATAGTTTATTGAAATGAACACACTTGAACTGATTCACTCAAATGAATCAAACTTTCCAATTCAATGCCCAGCTCTAATGCACATACATTACTGAATTACTGAAACATTTTAATGT